TTAAAGCAATTTATTGAGAATTTAGCATGCCTGATATCAAGGAGACCACTTCATTTGAGATGTTAATTTGTGGCAATAATTATAGCTTGGGTAATATTTTATTAATCCAAGTAGGTTTTGTTTTTTCTTTTAATAATAAAAAGCTTGTTTGATAAACTCCATACTTAACAAAAAATAATTAAAACTAGAAGTTAAAAGAACATTGAGGGAGAGTCCTTTTATAATGCACTCTAAATAAGTTAATTTCATATACCAATAAAACAATTCAAGAAAATTATTTCCTCAATGATTTTTTATTAATAACAAGTTCAAATAAATCAGTCAAACAATGGCATACATGCAAAATAAAATAGAATGAAATAGAATTGGATAAAATGAGATAAAATAAAGTGTATTGTAATTCTATGGAAACGTCTGTACTAATTTAAAATTCTATTTGGAAGTCCATATATTTAAAAACAACTAGAACAAGCTAAAAAAACACAAGTAAAAGAAAATACCTAACCTCCAGTGAAACGTTGTGGATATTTGATAGTAGCAAGAGCTTTCCTAATCAAGTTTATGCAACACCTAACAATGGTTACACTAGTCCTGGAATTACTGAGCATCAGTATTGAGGTTGGGGTTGGGAGAAGAGGTTCTTGGGGACTTTGGAGGACTGGGTTGTCCTTGAGGTCAGGGATTTATCAGAGGTTGAGGTTGAACCAGACATCCGGGTTGTAGCGAAGGTCTGGGTTGTATCAGATGTTTAGGTTGTGCTGGAGGTCGAGGTTGTGCAGGAGATCGAGGTGGTATCAGAGGCTGACCTTGTGCCGGAAATCGAGGTTGTATCAGAGGTCGAGGTTGTATCAGATGTCGGGGTTGTATCAGAGGTCTGGGTTGTATCGGAGGTTGAGGTTGTGTTGGAGATCGAGGTTATGCTGGAGGTCGAGGTGGTATGAGAGGTTGAAATTGTGCCTTAGCACGAGGTTGTGCTGTAGGACGAGGCTGTAATGGAGGCCAGGGCTGTATCAATTGTTTCCCTTCATTGCTGACTCCATTGTTGCTGCTGCTTGGTAGTCTCTGGTGTCAAAAGTGCATTATGTTGGCCCGAAGCTCCCTGTTCTGCTGGGATGGTGCTTCCAGGTCCTGGCGGAGCCTCGAGCTGTGGGTGGGCAGAACCGCTGGCAGCTCAGCATCAAGCGGCCCCACCACCACCTTGGGTCCTGGGCCCTGCTCTTCTCCTCCGGCCTCTCTCTCTTTGAAAACACAGTGGC